CTTCTGATGGGTGTAGGACTTCAAAAGTAGGACCTTCATGTTGGTTGCTTTGCCCGAAAATCTATCCAATGCATCTTTCATCTCTCTAGTCGACCATTATGCAAGATCAAGGGAGGCGTCAAGTGGCTTCCTAGCGAGCGCGAAAGCACCTATCACCGGAGGATGAATTTTTAAAGCGAGAACTTGGGCGCGCGGATTCTGCTTGTCACTAATAATCTCAAGGTGTGGATATGTTGTATCGTGGTCGATAAAATGCATCCTTGCTGATGGAATTCACAGTCAAATGTGCTGCTCCGAGAGTCTGCGAAAAGAAAAAGGAAGAATCTATGAAAACCAGCAAGACTGAAAGGGACAGCATATCACAATATATTACCTAAATTCGAGAAAATATCTGGGAAGATATCAGCACATTTTGATTATGATTTTTATCTATGTCGTAGCTCCAGAAGTGTAGTTTCCGTAGCTATGAACCGCTCGTGATTTCGATGCTCCTACACCAAGATATGATTTATTTGGTTAAGATGCGCAAAACTGAAATGTTGAGCGTGACAGGACTTGAACCAAGTTTAGGAAGCTCTCCTAGGATCACCCAAATTTTTAATATGTTGTAGTACTTCGAGTCTAGCTTTTGTAGCCGCAAACCGCTCGTGATTTTAGTGTTCCTACACCAAGATATAATTTTTTTGGTTAAGACGCGCAAAGCCGAAATATCGAATGCGACAGAACTTGGAACCAAGTTTAAGAATTTCACATGGGACAGTACAAGCAAATTTAACCTCAGTCTTTGAACGTGTCTTGCCTCTAAGTGTCTACTTTTTGGAGAATCAAACAGATTGAGTTTTGGAAGCTCCTACGATGAGATATAATTTTATTTTCGATAGACAGACAAAGCTGATAATTGGAGAATCAAGCGACGGGATTACGTAATGCCAACTATTGAAGAGTACCTACTAAAACCAACCAAAAAGTGGTATTGTTGCTTTCATCAAGAGTGGAAGACTGCTGCTATGGCAACGATACAAGGAGAAAGTGGCCAATTTATAGGAACCAACAAGGAAGAAATTAAGTAAATTCTTGGTGTTCAAACTACTGACATGTGCAAATAAGGAAATATCATGTCTGATTTGTACATGAATAGGTTTGAAACTAGGAAATCAAAGCAGAAAAGGAAAATTATTGTTAGCATAAGTGTTTTTACGGGAAAGTGGGGAATGCTTTAAAATTTTCTATGTTTGATATAGTCAAGTTACTAATGCTGGCCAATGTGGAATCTCTCCAATTCATGGGAGGAAATAACGAGTAAGGAATATATATTATTGTAGCAGCCAAATTGGAAGAGCACTATGTTGTGAGAGTTTTCTTTGAGTAAATGTTTTAAGCGCATCAAAGGAAAGCATATCTTTTGAACCAGAATTCAAGTGAATAAACCAAATATTTCTTGTAAATCCAGTGATTTAAATTTTAATTTGTCCTGGGTGGATGTGTTTGACTTAGTTCAATATGAACTTAATTATTCTTTAATTAAGTTGATACTACATAAGAAAGGCCACCAAATTCGTTTTCTCACTAAAGAAGGGGAATTAAGCTACAAGAGCCAAGCTTGCTATTAGGGGTCATTTTGGCTCACTTTGAATGAAGTAAAAGAGTTGTCAATTCCAATCATTGATGATGTCAAGTCACTCTTCGGATATAGAATATGTAAACAATTGTCAGTGCGGTATCTTACAAAATGATGGGGGAAATATTGTCGTCATCACCGGTACTTCAAGTCTCACCATTCATTTCGGCAAGCCTACATCCCGACAAGCCTTGAAGCATGGGGCATTTTTAGACAAACAAAATTTTATTAAATTTAAATTCACAAGTAATTTGGATTTCATCATGTATTAAATACATATTAGTCCAAATGATACTATGGGCTAGTATAATCAGGTCGATTATTTAAATCTAAAATGAATTGATTTAAATAGAAGTCCAATGTATTATTGGGCTAGCCCGTCAATTGGTCTTCTATCAAATAGATCGGCCCATAAGCTTCATGCCCAATGATCCACTAGGATTTTCTTGGAGACTACTCCACCCCACACCTATATAAAGGGGTCAAAGGAGAAAGTTAAGACACAAGTAAGTAAGCAGAAAAAAAGGCTAAAAAAGCTCTAAAGAATAGCATCAAGGTCTCCATCCATATCTGCAATTGTCCTCTGTGGTCAAATTCCAAAGGCGAACTCAAATCATAAGCGGGTGGCTTCAAATCTTCCGTTCATGATAACCCAACAACAAATCCTGGTTCGTGACGAGCTTCAAGTTGTTCGTGACGCACCGCAAATTTGAAATCCGTCAAGTTCAAGATCAAGCTCTTGAACCATCATTCGTGAGGATAAGAATCAGATGACCACATCTTTTTTAGATTTGAGATATTCTAGAGATTGTAACCCCATCACTTGAAATTGAATATAATATTTGTCGCTATATTTTTTGTCTTGATTATTATTTTTCAGGAACGAAATTTAGTTGTTACAGAAAGAATGATTTCACCACATATATCTTTAGAATCAATAAAAATATCTCGTTGTCTTCAGGATCTTGCGAATTGTCCTTGATGATCACCACATTGATCGAGTTTGAAAGAGCCATTTGATAGTTGAAACCCCTATGTATGGGTGGTCTTTTTTGTAACAAAGTTTAAAAAATTAGAAGTATGCATTGTTTGGGGTGATACTTAACTTTTGACCCCACTTCTCCGTGGGCATAACTTCAAGGATAAAAGTTAAAAGTGTTGTTTATGAAATAATCGAGCGACAATACTTTTTAAACTTGAAATTTTACTCATGGATCAAGCGAAAATAGAAATTCAAGACCATCCACTATAAAAACTATTTGTATACTTCACGCAACAAAGTTAAGTCTACCAACGAACCCAATAACCAATCTTAGGACCAGAATCAACATTGGATGCATTTGTCCATGATGGTTAATTGGAATTAACAAGATATTAGTGGCAGTGAAGATTTGCACTAAAACATCTGTTTGGTAACCAAGGAGGATTAAACATTGAAGTTATGTTAGCATTGCTTAAAAAAAAAGTTATAGAGGGTGTTTAGATTGGCTTATTTTAAGTGATTATTGTCTTTTAAATACTTTTTTAGTTTTTGTGGTGTTTGACAATGATAAAAAAAAATACTTAAAAGCACTTACTTTAGACATGCAAAATACAAAAATAAGCCAAAAACGAGAAGTTGGATATTACCAACTTATGATTTTTGGCTTTTAGCTTATAAGCTACTTTTTTAAAAACCAATTCAAACATCTTCATACTTGAATTATACTTCTTCCAATTTCAAAGGGGTTAACTAAGGAAATAAACCTATCTCAGAAAGTCAAATGTACGACATTTTCTCCTTTAGTTGTGTTATTTTTTTAATCTAATTAGATAAGAGGTGTGAATGTGAAATGGAGGGAAAAGATTTGGAGGGAAACGAAAAGTTTGAAGTGTTTTCCTTTACTAATGTACTTTGTCCCTCGTCGGAAAATGGCAAGAAAATCTTTGTGCTTATATTAAGAAGCACATCTTCTAGCTCTTAAAGAGTTGAGAAACAGTAGTGCATGCGCCGTTGTTGTTGCTCACTCGGTTTCGGTCAATTGATTGATAATTTTTTGGACCAAATTTATTTTTCGTTATTCATTTTCTTTTTCCTGATATTTTTTCGCACGGATTTTATTTCGCGGTTAATTTCCTAATGGTTGTTTCAGCTTCGGATTCGGTCAATTGATATGATTGATTGATAATTTTTTGGACCAAATTTATTTTCCGTTTTCCGTTATTCATTTTCTTTTTCCTGATATTTTTTCGTGCGAATTTTATTTCGCAGTTATTTTCCTAACGGTTGTTTTGAGTTTAAAATTCGTGACCAGACTTCTGCCAAAATGGTACCCCATGTGAACATGTACTTTCGCACATATTCAACCAAGACTGTTTGGCTATAAATTCAGAGGTTTTTCCTCAGTTTTTACCACCGAAAATCTGTATACTCTCCCCTCTGCTGCATTTCTGCACTGTTTTTCAAAGCAAAACGTAAGCATAAATGTGATTTACTGCCGTTTGTTGAGTTCGACGAAATTCTGTAATTTCTATTGCCGGTATTACAGAATAGTTGTTCCGTTCTATCCTGAGAGGGATTAATCCAATAACCTTGGGCAACACTAAGGGGATTAAATTACTTAAGAAAATACAGTTTTCTGTTGGGCTCAGAACTTTTATTTATTCTTGTTTTATTCTGTTTCTGCTTCTGTTTTGTTTTATTTTTGTAGAAATTATTTTCGAACACTGGTTGATAACAAGTTGTAGGAAAACTTCTGTTTTGATCTCTGAGAAATAATAATGCTTATTTTCGCTAAGTAATAGCTTGAATAAACTGACACTGTGTTTGACTAAATCGATTCAATAAACTTTATGATTTACCCAATTACTAACCTAAATCACAATTGTTAGGAAACTTTTATGATTCAACAATCGTCAAACCATTATCATTATTTGTAAATTCAAACTTACAAGCAATTAGGAAAAATATAACTACAAGAGCAAGCGACCAGCATATGGCAGATATCCGACAATGCTTCGCAAAAAGTTCTAGTATTTTATATATTTTTATGCAAAATTTGCGTACATACACTATATATGACGACACTTCTTAAAAATAATAGAAAATAAATATTAATTTGGGACAAAAAAGGCTTTAAAATCACCAAAGTCTTAAGATCAAACTACTTACGCAAGAAAAGTTTAAATTTTCTTTATCAACTTAAAATATTCCTACCACAAACATGATAATATTCTTGTATTAACTAGATCAATACATACATTACTATAATAGGTTCCATAAATGCAAACAACAAGCTAGTGGTTTAAGAAAAGAACTCAAAAACCAAAGAAGAAAAAGAGAAGATCGGCGAAATGAAATAAGAAACTGAAGGAAAACTCTTTAAATTACTAATTTAGTGTCTTAATCAACCACATCAACCTTGACTGTGCAAGATAATAGCCTTCGAAAAATGGAATACAAAGCAGCGCATGATATCTCCTTAGCCTTTCTAATTCCATTTATATTTTCCCTAGTACTTCGACTCTGGGCACCACTTGAATTATCACCAGTATTACGAGCTTTTCGTTTTATTCCATAGTATTTCAGTACTATTTTTTCACAAACGCTCTCTTCTTTTGAAAACGGATAGCTTCTTAAGTATAATTGTCTGTATGAAATGCTATCCAACACCGTCGGATTACTGGGATGACTGCACTTGATATTGCCATTGTATTGGTTGTTTATCCTTGAACTGACGACTGATTTTATGAACTCAGCGTCAGATTCTGGCCATTTATACAGGTTCAAGTATGTTGGTCTTATTGGTGCTCTGGCAATTTCGTTAACACAATTAGTTGATATGCAGGCGGAGGCCATCTTAGTTTTCCGGCGAGAAAATAACTTATCTCACTTACCTCTCAATATGAAAATCAGGTAGCTAGTGTTACCCCTACAGTATTTATAATAGAGAAAAACTAGTTTTGATTACAAACTAGGAAACCTAATCCCATATTATGTTTAATTACTACAAAACCTATTTAGATATGAGTTAAAAGAGAGTAGAAAATGCCAAATCCTAAGTAATTTAGGATTACTAATTATAATGGTTTAATTCCAACAAGTATGTTTGACACGAATTAAAGAGATGAACAAATACAAATCCTTAGTAATTTAGGATTGCTAATATACTTGGTTTTTATTCCGATAAGGTCTGCTTCACTTGCTTTTATAATGGGATTACATTTTGAAGCGTCGTCGATGTAGTATTGACTATTGTTAATACTACAACACTTGATAGCAGAGCCATAAATATCCATTATAGTTTTACACTCTGTCGTGTGCTCCTTGACATGGCCTTAAATAGTTTTAGGTCGGGTGATTTGCATAAAAGTGATATTTTGCGCTGTTATTTAACTGTTGTCTTCAGTTTTGACATTTGTGCATCCTTAAGTTGCAATTGAAGTGCGCAATGGAGTATATAAGATTTTCTAATCAATGATGGAGTTTTTAATTATTGGAGTTTTAGAGTAAGGATGCTTAAGGCAGCTTCAGCGAATATATATATATATATATATATACCAGTGACATCTCTTTAACAAGGAATGATATTTATCTTTTGTGTCCTTTTTTTGCTTTTTATTATTTTTTAATAATTTAAATAAATAAAGACAATAAACAGTTGTGAGGGCAATCAAGAGTTGCAACGGATGATTAAACGAACTGTTTCTTTGAGAATTTAAGTCAATTAATGTCCAATTATCCTTAAATGCCGGTGAAACTGGACGATTAACTCTTCAGTTCATTCTGATATTTTCCGTCTCTATAAAGAAGCTTCATATCCTCTATTTGGTGCGGACACACCAGATTAGATAGGGTTCGGAATGAAGTTATTCGGGACAAGGTACAAGATGTGAGAAGCACGACTTAGATGGTTTGAACATGTGAGAAGGATAGCACAGGCGCTCCAATAAGGAGGTGTGAGAGGTTGACATTGGAGGGCCTTAGGAGAGGTAGAGGTAGGCCGAAAAAGAGTTGGGGTTAGGTGATTAGGCATGACATGGCGCAACTACAGTTGACCGTGGACATGACCCATGATAGGAAGGTGTGGGGGTCGAAGATTAGGCTACTAGGTTAGGTAGTCTAGATTATTCACACCGGTAGTATTAGTACGTACTCGCGCATTTGATTGGTAATAGGCTTATTTGAATACCTTTTTTTTTTTTACTATCTTGTTGTGTATGCTGCTTTTACATGGTTTTTCGGTGTTGTCCCGTGTTGTTTCTTGTTATTATTGTGGTACCTATGCTTGATTGAGCCGAGAGTCTATTGAAAACAACCCCTCTACCTCCACAAAGGTAAGGGTAAGGTTTGCGTACACACTACCCTTCCCAAACTCTACTACATGAGATTATACTGGGTATGTTGTTGTTGTTATTTGTAATTTACTTTTAACTTCTTTACCATGTTAAACTTATTTTCCAGGCACTAAATCTTTGGCAAAGGGTCGTGCACCACGAAAACACGGTGAAGAATATTATTACTGGTATCATCAAGTTGTTCGCTGCATTAATTTATTTTTTAAAATGATATTTTATTCTGTTTTAAGCAATTTGGAGTGTGTGCTATATGCGTCAGGTCTATTTGTCGTCTTTTTCTTTGTATTCTGTTTATGAATTATGTTTGTTCTCTTCCTTTGGTTTTTCATTTCCAGTGTATCATTTTGCCTTACTTAAATGACAAATAATGCTTTGTGAACTTCAACGAGATTGAAGAACTCAGGTTTTGGTAAAATGTAGGTAAAATCACTTCTGGTAGTCATGTTAATTCGTATGTGTTCCTTTAATCCAAAGCAACCTGTAGGCCTTTATTCTTAATTTATCAATATAACAATATAGATTATGGTATACGACATCCAACATTGTATACAGTGCATTGATCTTATTCACTTTCTTGACCCAAGTTATCTTTGAACTGAAATACTTTTTCCCAAAACTTTTGACTTGTGCAATCATGGCATATTGACATCCAATTTCATATGTATGGCATCCTTTCTGTCCAAATATTCAGCCAACTACAGCTCCATCTCTCTAGAAGATAATGTATTATCAAACATATGAAATGGTATTAAGCAGCTTAATTAATCAGAATCCTAGTAGCAAAAAATCTATAACATCCTTTGCAAGATTAAAAGTGAAAGTAACCTAATATGATGAGAAATTAATTAACTTTCGTAATCACTGTTCGATCTTAAAAGTGATTGAAAAATATTTTTTTCTTAGTTTTCATTGCACTATTTCCTCCTCCTCGATCAACTGCTTGATCATATACTGGGGCATATTTTAAGCTAAAATATCATATTAGGGTATCCAAGAGGAGGAAAAAGAGCAAAAAAGATATCCTATATGCTTTTTGCTTTTTAATATCTCGATGCATTCAAGAGCGTGTGCAACTTCATCTGCATAAAGACGTGGACTAACCTGTATTAAATGTAGTACTCTCAATCAACATAGTGATTCATGTTGCACCCTTAATGCAATCCCTGATCCATTAATATACAAAAACAAAAAGATTATTTTTTAATATTTTTACGCATGCATTATTGATAGAAAGCATCTAAAGAATTAAAAGACTTTAAAAATTCCTTTTTGATGAAAGATTAAATATCTTATCATTCTAAAACATTTAATCAGGTACATTAACAGGGGCGGATCTATGTAGATGGAAGGGGTTGTACGCCACCCGGTCGTTTCGGTAGAATTTCATATTAGTATTGGTATTTCACTGATATTTCATGTTAAAAAGGTATAAATTAATTTTTTGGCACCCTGACAAACAGAGTTATGGTAGGTGCCATGGTCTAAATGCTTCTTGTCACGTCCGAGACCCAAGGTCGATCCTCTTACCCTCATTTTTTAACAAAGCCTATTTTACTTTTCCTTGTTCCCTATTTTTCTTTTCTTCTCTTTCCTCTTATTTTCATCTTTGTATTCTCTCTTTATACATTTCCATTTTTATTAGTTATTTAAATTATAAAAATATGTTTATTTCTATTTTCCTTTTCTGAATCTTGGACTTTGATATTTCAATATGTTTTAATCATTTTTCTTTTGATCTGGTTAATGTTATTTTTTCCTTCAATGACCAAACATTTTAAGTTTGCTTATCACGTGTGTATTTATGTACCAAAAATTTTATGAAGTGAATCGAATTAATTAAAAAATGGAACGAACCAAACCGAACCAAATTAATTCAAAACTGAGCGAACTAGCCAAATGTAGGGGTGTCAATGGATATTTGAAAACCGACTGAACCGTAATGCACCGAACCGATTTTTAGGTTTCTTTTAAAGAAACTGTACGTTTTTATATAAATTTATAATTGTACCGATAATTAGGGTCGGTTTTTTATTTCATAAAAATAAACTAAAAAATACCGAACCGTACCGAATAAATTTTACATGTGGAATACTTATATAGTAAGTTTAAAACTAATACGTAAAGCATTAAATTTTTTATTGAGAATTCGAATTATGAAAATTGTTACAAACCAACAAGTAATTAAACTCAAAATACTAATTCCTAAAACCTATTATGCTACTTATACTTAAACTAAGTTATTTCAAGTATCTTTATTAGCAAGACACAATATTCTAGCGATTATGAGTAGCAAACTACAATGTATTGAATATGTTTCCTGTCATATAATTTAAATTTATCTTTTTGAATATTTAATATAAACTTTATTCTTGAGTCTCAACTTGATTAATATCTTTTATTTTCTTTGCTTTTACTTGGTTTCTTTTACGTTGCTGTCGAATAGTTGATGGATCTATATATACTCTAGCCATCTTTCATAATTTTTAAATTCATCACCATTTAAACAGTAAAAATATCTAAAAAGTTTTGGCAAAGTCTTATAAAAGAATGTATGTTATCTACTGGTGAATTTAAATGACATTTATAAAAATACAAAAATTAACAGAACCGTACCGATACCGACATGATTGGAACGGTTTCGAAAAGTCTAATTTTGGTTATATATAATAGAATAACTGAAAAATTGCTATGGCACAAATTTTATAAAATAACCGGCCGAACCGAACCATTGACACCTCTAGTCAAATGTACACCCTAATTCGACCTCCTTAACTAGAGGTAAGTTTACATCAAAGTGGCACCCGTAACCATCAAATCCTGGATCCGCCTCTGGGTACATAGTAATCTAATCATATACACGACGAAATTGCAGAAAACACATTTGCTATCATGTTACACAGTAGATAGCAAAATGAAGTCGATAGCTTTTAGCTCCCATTATCTTTGCGAATTAAAAGGTTTCACGAAGCAGACACTAACTGTAAAATTAGGCTTTTAGCTCATGATGCATCTAAAGTGCAGTAACACCAAAAGTACTACAAAATAGTTGATATCTCTACTAAATTGTACATCGAAATGCTTTTATTTGATGAATTTGGGTGAATATAGTTGAAGATCTTAGTGTAGATAGATGAAAAAACGTAGAAAGAATACTTGATAAGACACGCTTGACATGTTTTTAGATCAATAAGTAATTGGTAGGAAAATAAAAGCTTAAAGTAACAAATTAAGCATATTGAGATGCCAAATGACATTCAGTGTAACAATTTTTTCAGGCAAAATCAGTCTACATGTTGCACATATAAATAAAAACAAATGACAATAGAAAATACTCCAATAAATAATTTCTTTAGTTAACGGTGAAATTATATTTTTACGTAGAATAATTTAGAGTTAGAAAAAACTGACATACATATTTAAGTCATAAAAAACCTACCATAAATATGAAGTCTTAAGTTTATTGTCATTGCAAACTACACTGTATTCTTCCTCAAACTGGAG